TCACAGAGGATTCACCACCTTCATATTTTGTCCTGAGAATATCCCAGGTATATTTAATAGTACTATAGATAGCTATATTCTTGAGATCATCCTTATCTACCCCGTGAAGTAGAGCATCCAAGACATTGGAGTTTGCAGAAGCTAACTCGTCTTCCTCTTTGGACCAATCCTCCTTTGACTTAAAAAACTAATTACCATCTTTGTCTTTCATGACAAGATGACTTCATCCCTTCATCATAACCTTCCAAGATTTTCTGTCCATGGCTTTTAAAAAGGCTATCATCCTAACCTACCAAAAAACTTAATATCCATCATCCGACATAGGTGGTTTATCCAACTGTTCACCTTTGTAGTCCATAATACCAAATAATATGTTCCCTGGAGCTCACCCAATAGACAGAACATGGTGTAGTTTTGATATCAATTGAAATTCTAGCTCACACAAAATAAATGTCAAGAATGATGTCTCAACAAACAAGCACAATGTCATGACAAATGTTATGACATCTGTTGGCTGAACGAAAACTTTTACCAAAATTAAAACTATGTAGAATTATAAAGTTCTAAAGGTAAAAAAACACAGAGAGTTATTAACCCAGTTCGGTGCAACTCACCTACTCTGGGGGCTACCAAGCTAGGAAGGAAATCTACTATTAGTAGTATTAATTCTAAGCTAAACAATCTCAGTTTACAACTTATCACTTAACCACTACCCAGTGCAACTTCTACCTAGGCACCTCCTAGATATGAGAAATTGCCATCTCACTTCTAATCACCGCAATGATATCTACAGCCACAATCCCAGTGACTTGATTATAAAGCCACAAACCAGTGACTAGAGAATACAATTAAAGAACACACTTAAATTATAAAAGCTCAAACTCTCTTGCTTAAATGCTTCAAGAGTGAGATAATAACTTGACAAACTATCAAGTAACAATCAGTTAACTCAAATGCATCAAGATATGTGTGAACATACAAATAACAAACTAAACTCCCTTGAAGAATTCTTAAACCCAAGACTAAGAAAATTTGGCTTCCCCTTTTTTTTTTACAAAGTTCTTAAAAATATTAGGTCTAGGTAGTTTCTCTAAATACTCCTCAGTCACCCTTGGGCCTTGCACCTTCACCCAAATATTCCTTGTTGTCCATGTTGAGGGTTGCACCAATCAATGCAGGAAAACCTCCTTGAATCTTGGAAAAAACACAAGGTTTCCTAAATTGTCTCAATCAACTAATTAGCAACCTGTGTATAGCTGGAGATAAAATATTTGTTCCAGGTTTATAATTCTTGACCTGCGATAAATCAGTGAGATAAAAAAACTTACATCTCACAGAATCAATTTAAGATCTGTCAATAATAAACAACTTATAGTGATGTTGGATCAGGATGTTACAACATTTGTCAGAACATCTTCTTTCAAATGAACTTGACCAACATGTTTAAAACATTTCTTTTAATATCAAGTTGCAAACCATGTTTTAGAAAAAATTATGCCAATCCAAAGAACATGGTAATAACACATTTAATTTTAAACACCAAAGCCAATTGAAATGGTGACGGTATATGTGCCATAGGGCTTGCAAGTTCCGCATGCTGCATGGTGTAGGTGTGACAGGATTCCCATGCTACGTCTTATCTCACAGGTTTTATAGATGTGCAAGAATATTGCACATGTATGTACAGTGGAGCCAATTTGACTAGCGACCATGTTGAATTTTTTAAAGAATTTTCTAATTGAGTTGGCGAGTTTTATTAAATTTGCATGGTGATGTCCAATTCTATTAAAGTGTGCATAAGAAAACTCAGATTAATATCACTATTTTAATAGCAACCTAAACTAACACAAGGTCTCTCTCATACCAAATAAAAAAAGCTATGTCATCTTCTCCCAAATACATTATTAATGCTCACTTCAATGGTGATACATATGTCTCTGATGTATCTGGGTTTGGTTTTCGTAACACTATAACTGTCTGATTTGCAATCAATAGAAATCCAAATTTCTTGCATTTGAAAAAAATAATAGAAACCCATCTAGGGTCTTGTCCTGTATCACAAATTACATACCAAAATCAAGTTTCTATGGATCCAATCAATTTATTAATATTTTATACTCTGACTTTTATACAAACCGTTAATCATTATAAAAAAAAAAACATAACACACACTGGTGCGAATTGAATTGGCGCCACCTTTAAAATTTAAAACATAGGCGCTAATTGGGTTGGCCACTAGTTGCAGGCACCAATTCACTTGTCGACACCTCTTAAATCATATGTGTAGGCGGTAATTCACCTAGAACCAATGCTACGTCCCTTTTTTTTTTTGTTTGAGAGTAGGGTAGATTGGATTTTTTTTTTGAAATGTGGGTTATTTTGGGAATTGTTTTGAAAATGTGGGTTATCTTGGCAAAAAAAAATTATGTTATTGGAGTTAACACTTTTTAAATAATAATTATTTATGTTTATTTCAATAATTATATTTTGTTTAATTAAATAACCTTATTAATAATAGTTAGATAAACAGTTAAGTGTACTAAACTATCCATATGCACCGATCATAATCTAGAAAAATCCACCTCTTGAATAAATTAAACCATTACAGATTAAGAGCCAAGTTAAAAAATTGAAATAAAGGAATGCGTCAAAAGCTTTTGATTAACATGTAATGGAAAACCTAGAACTTCTCTTTACACAATATTTTCAAATACTTCTTTATTCCACACCATTTTAAAAATATAATATTTGTTGTAGGTGTTGGAGCGAACATGGGAGTATATTTATGGTCTAAAAGGGTGAGCGGTGAGTTGAATAGACCTTCTTCTAAAATAATTTTTAAATATGTTTTTCGAAAATATAGATTTTTAGAAAATGCATCGGAGCAAAGTATAAAAGAGATTTACAATGGGAATTATGCAATTGAGTATGTGTGTACAAATGAATAAAATAATGATAAGATTCTACCTCCGAACATATATTTGTGACATCTTTGTTAAGAGTCTACCTCCGGCTAGTCTCTTATATTTGTATGTCTTCCCTCGGCCTGACATACATTCAACTCTCGGGTTGTCAGATTTGTTTCTTCTCCGACTTCTGAGCCACGAGTTTTCCAATTTGTTTCTTCTCTGATCTCTAAATCGTGAGTTTGTCAATGTGTTTCTTCTCTGACTGTTGAGTCGTGAGTTTGCAACCTCGAGTTGAAGATTATCACATATAGTTCCTCAACAGTCGTTTGTTCAACTTATGTTCATCTTTTCCGGTGTCTTTCATTCGTGAATCTTCACCATGTTTGTTCTATGCATTGTACACGAGATGTGTTATTCTCCAACAGCGTTCATTTGCCTTGGCAGATAGACAACATAACTTCTTTTTCCTCTGAGGAAATCCTTCGGGAATATCAAACCATTACCCGCCAAAGCTTGTTAGTGGAGGCATCCAATGAAAGAAAAATCATAAAAATTCCTACATGTTCTTCAGAGTGCAAATTTTCAGGTTCTTTTAGTATTTAATCTTCTTCTACCTTGAAAGTTCGAAAGGCTAGCGCCAATCTCACTTTTAGGTTAAAGACAATTAAATAGAGGCAACTGTTGCACCCAAAAATTTTCTCTCCTAATTGATACTTTTATCTGGCTTTGGCTTTGCATTCATCTGTATATTTCCATTAGGACATTTTACATAACATTGCACTCAATAAAGTACTTTGGTTCAAAGGCTCAGTGATTATGTAATATTAGGTTTTTCTGTTGGGTTAAGGTGTTCGTATCCAATAAGGCCCAATTCTTATGTTTCTTCTGGTTCTTCTTTCTGTGTTGAAGTGGGGAATTAGGTGTCGATTCATGGATTTCTTCTTCATCTAGTTACAAGGCTATCAGGGTTTATTTCCTTATGTTTGATCAAAGTCAGGTCTTTCAGCTATTGTGCTCTAATTGATATTTCTTCTTCAAAGGTCATTAAATTAGGGGGTTATCTATTACTTTGAGGCTTTTACATCACTCAAGCTTGAATTAATGGGTTCCTTCTTCAATCATGGTTGGTGGAACTAGATTTTTGTATTCATATTTATTAAGAACTTCTTCTTTCATCAAACGACATCATTTAAGATGCCTCAAATGCAAATGGATTATGGTTTGGTCATTGATTTCAACTGAGGACCTTGTGAGCTAAGATTTTGTTGGCGACATCAATCCACCAATTCATTTCTTCCTCATTGAGCATCCCTTGCAAGAATATCCCGTGCAAGAATTAGGGTCTTATTCATGGTGTTTAAGCTTGTTAACCTTGCATTCAATCGAAGTTAAGTGGGTTTCATGTTAAGGTGTTCCTCTAGGCTTCAAGACTTATCTTCTTCAAGGTATTTGTCTTAATGTCAGTGGTTATGCAAGTCAAGTTTGTCTTTGAGATTGAATGGCATCAGGTGTTGAGACATAGTACAAGAAATGAAGTTATGAATTGCTCATGACCAAGGCATTTTTATTTCTCTCAATTATTTGTTGATTACAATACAAGTTGATTTGAACTTGAGATGGAATTTAGGTTTTCAGTAAGATTTGAAGTGGGAATACAAAAAATCATCTAAGACTATTCATTGGTTTTTATTCATCAAAATTCATCAAAATCCAAAGGCTCATGATCATTCAATGGATTCATCATATGTACCATTCCATTACAAAGATATATTCAAGATCATCAAGGAAATTTCATGACCATTCCAAAATCATTCATCATCATTTAAGTTTATTTTACAAGTCATCATTCAAATTCCAAATGCCATTGTTCAAGTTCAATTTTCAAGTTACAATTCATCATCATCTTCACAACTTTACCATTACTACAAAGTGAAACTCAAAATACATGGAAGAAAAACTACATCAAATGTTACATGAAAACATAAATTCCATTTTCCATCATCCAAACCTAAGTTCTAAGCCTAAGGACAAAACTTCATTAATCAAAGACTTAGACAAGAATTTTTCCTAGCTTCCATATGCTACAAAACAATGCCAAAACATGTCCAGACAGCTTATCAAACCTACTCTATTAGAAATATAACTTCTACTTGTCCTGCACCATTGAATTCAAGCTCTGTCCGTAAACAACCTGCATCAAAGCACCCTCATCATGTCTGCAACGGTTCAGTTCATAAAAACAAGTTCAGCCCTGCACATATAAATCCAGCCGACATTAATAAACAAAACCGATTCAGAAGCTTGCATCAACCCATGAGCCGAATTAACAAGCCAAACTTCCAGCTCAATTAAACAGAAGGAATAATCAGAAAATGTAAAACAAAATATCACGAAAAGTATATCAAAAAATAGTGAAAACAATTTTACAGCTCAGCAACTCTCAAGTCTCTCAATCTCACCATCCATTCTATAACAAACTCTCAAGATCCTAAGGCTCAAATTCAATTCAATCATAACAGAATTTCTACAAACTCTAACAGAAAGATAAAAAGATAATTCTCACCAGATACTATTCATTCTTCAATCGATGGAAGAATCACCAAAAAGAGCTCTCATCTTCTCTCTGCTTTCTTCTTCAATCTTCAACCAAATATTCTCTCTGCAAATTTCTTCTCTACAGAACCTTCATCATCGTTGCATCTTCAGCATTCTTCTCTCGGCAATAACCACATCAACAACATCAGTCCCACCGTGTCATCGCCTTCATCATCTCTGTACCAATCTTTAATCATCTTCTGCAGCTAGCTTCTTGTGCAGCTTCTCATCTTCGTACACCCCCAATCTTCGCGCGATTCAAGCCACCGAATCCGCTGCAATAGTGTCACAAATCGACAAACAACGCATCACAATCTCATCTTCAAGAATCGATAAACAAAGAACGCACAAGGAAGTGAATCGAATAATAAGTAGAAGAGGAATTCAAAATACAACGCTAAAGAGGATGTACCTGAGCTATCAAAACCTCCTATGGCAGCGATCGGAGTTCGTCGATGAAGAAGGTTGAAGCGAATCCGAGGGCGGGGCTTTGATCAGAATCAGAGGAGGATTGCGAAGTTGAATCTATTTGAAATGGAGTTGAGATGATGAGAACGCCGTCGTTCACCATGAGAGAAACATCTTTGCAAAATTTTGATGGAGAAGAGAACCTATGTACCTCTGTGTTCACGTGAAATTGTAAAATCTAGCTCACATGCCAAACGACACTGTCCCTTTCAATCTTCTTTCATTTACTTTAGGTTGTTTATTATTATAATAAAACTAAATCTGATGGATCAGGTTGTGTTTGGACCGGGCCATATGCACCTATCATGAGCCCATGGTCTGTGTTTTTTTGGAAGTTTGAGTTGCAATAGAACAAAAAAGGATCTTGGACTTTATTACTCACGGGCCTAGCACAAGGCTTGTGATTTATTATTGCACCTTGAATTTCTAAAAATCCAGTTGTTTCTATTTGATATTCTTCTTTTAATTTTGTTTCACTTGCTTTTAATCAATTTTCTTTCTTGATTTCTTGACATGATAAAAATGAAAAAATCAATAAAAATTTGTTAGATTTATTTATTTATTTTACTTTTAGGAATTAATTAGTGATTATCCGATTATTTAAGATTTGTGATTCACCTTTGCTTGTCAAGATTTGAGTCTTATGCAGGTTTATCGTGCGATATGCGGACGTGCTTGAGTTTCTGATTGTGATTTATTTTCACATGTATAATGCTTCGATACTTATTCCGAGTATTTAATTTCAGATTCTTCTTTGTTGCTTGGTGAATCTCACTCAAAGTTTTCTGGGTTTCTCTGCTTTGTTTGATTTGCTACGAACTCTTGTTCGTTTGGTATTTTTTTTCTTGTTTATCTCATCTCAACACTTTACTGCTTTCTAGATATCATGAGAAGTAGGAAATAAAGAGTGTGCGCTCAAAGTCGTTGTTTAAAGATCTATAGTAGGCATCACTTTCTGTATGTTATCTGTGTTTGTTTAAAATCCTATCTTTGAAGTAGGTATTATGAACGTGTGTTTATATTTATGCCTGCATCTATTCCCCCATCCTTTATTGAAGCCCTCAAAAGGAGACGAGCTGAAAGGTTTAGCAATCAACCCCCACACATTTTATTTTGTGTCATCCTTAGCTCGCGTTTTACTCTAATGCTTTAGAGTGTTCCTACTCTTGTTATCGAGTCGTCAAGTGGAAAATGGTTTCCTAATCAAACCCCAACATTTTATCTTGAGTTCATGTTGGACGACGTTGACGCTCCGTGTTTTTTCTATCTCCTCCCCGTTTGTTTGCCTTGGTTGATAGACCCCTTGGCTAAAGCTTCCCGCTTCATCCCCTTTCTCGCTTGTTTGCCTCGGCTGATATGACCTCTTGGCTAAAGCCTCTCTAATGTATTTTGTACCTACCTTGATCAGTTATATGTTGGTTAGGCCTTTACCCGAGTTAGTGTGCACTACTTGTGGCATGTGTATGCTCTCTTGAACTTGTGGATTACTCGCTTTCCATACTTGTGTACTGTTTTCTTAGGTTGTAAACCTTTGGCGTGTTCCCTTAGAAGCTCTTGATTCACCCTTTGGTGGTGATTCGAGATAGACATAAGTTTAAGTTGTGAACCTTTTCTATGCTTCCTTATGACTTCTTGATTCATCCTTTGGTGGTGATTCAAGATAGACACTAGGATTGTAATCCATGCATGCTAACATAGAGTAGAGATTTCCCTATCAAAACTGAACCATAGGATCAATCATTGTATAATAACATTATGGATTAGAACTAGATAGTCTTTCTTAGATGTTTTCCTTTCTTTTGCATCCTTGCATTAAGACTAAAACTTTTTTCTTGGAAAATGCATAAAACATCTAACAACTTTCAAATCCTTATTGAAGGTAAAAAATATTAACCAATGCAAACTTTTTCCGCTTTCGGGCCTTTCTTCGGAACCTTCAAAAGGATGTGTTAATTCTACTCTAAGCAACACTACGCCTAAATCCCCAAAGGTTGGGTGGCACTATGTCTAAATTTCTAGAGCACGAATGTAGCATTATCTGCCTCCGGGCATTTTCCCTTCGTAAATACCTTGTTAGGTAGAACATGTTAATTCACTTATGTGCTGACGCGTGAGTCTCCAAAGGTCGAGCTGCAGCAGAAGGCGAAATTAATATTGTTCATTAAAAAACACAAAACAAATCAAAACATGTGAGCCGAACTACGATAACTTTGATTCCTCAAAAAGGATACATAGGCATTGGAGTAGGGCCCAAGCAAGGTTTTGTTGGCGACATCAATCCCCCGATTTATTTCTTCCTCATTGAGCATCTCGTGCAAGAATTAGGGTCTTATTCATGGTGTTTAAGCTTGTTAACCTTTCATTCAATTGAAGTTAATTGGGTTTCATGTTAAGGTGTTCCTCTAGGCTTCAAGACTTATCTTCTTCAAGGTATTTGTCTTAATGTCAGTGGTTAAGCAAGTCAAGTTTGTCTTTGATATTGAATGGCACAAGGTCTTGAGACATAGTACAAGAAATGAAGTTATGAATTGCTCATGACCAAGGCATTTTTATTTCTCTCAATTATATGTTTATTACAATACAAGTTAATTTGAGCTTGAGATGAAATTTAGGTTTTCAGTAAGAATTGAAGTGGGAATACAAAAAATCATCTAGACTATTCATTGATTTTTATTCATCAAAATCCAAAGGCTCATGATCATTCATGGATTCACCATTCGTACCATTCCATTACAAAGATATATTCAAGATCATCAAGGAAATTTCATGACCATTCCAAAATCATTCATCATCATTTAAGTTTATTTTACAAGTCATCATTCAAATTCCAAATACCATTGTTCAAGTTCAATTTTCAAGTTACAATCCATCATCATCTTCACAACTTTACCATTACTACAAAGTGAAACTCAACGTACATGGGGAAAAACTACATCAAATATTACATGAAAACATAAATTCCATTTTCCATCATCCAAACCTAAGTTCTAAGCCTAAGGCCAAAACTTCATGATTCAAAGACTTAGACACGAATTTTACCTAGCTGCCATCTGCTACAAAACAATGCCAAAACCTGCAATGGTTCAGTTCACAAAAACAAGTTCAGCCTTGCACATATAAATCCAACCGACTATAATAAACAAAACCAGTTCAGAAACTTACATCAACCCATGAACCAAATTAACAAGCCAAACTGCCACTTCAATAAAATAGAAGGAATAATAAGAAAATATGAAAGAAAATATCAGGAAAAGTATATCAGAAAATCGTGAAGACAATTTTACAGCTCAACAACTCTCAAGTCTCTCAATCTCACCATCCATTCTATAAAAAACTCTCAAGATCCTAAGGCTCAGATTCAATTCAATCATAACAGAATTTCTACAAACTCTAACAGAAATATAAAAAGAGAATTCTCACCAGATACAATTCATTCTTAAATCGTTGGAAGAATCACCAAAAAGAGCTCTCATCTTCTCTCTGCTTTCTTCTTCAATCTTCAACCAAAGATTCTCTCTGCAACTTTCTTCTTTGCAGAATTGTCATCATTGTTGCATCTTCAACATTCTTCTCTCGACAATAACCGCATCAACAACATCAGTTCCTCCACGTCGTCGCCTTCATCATCTCTGAACCAATCTTCAATCATCTTCTACAACAATCTTCTTCTAGAGCTTCTCATCTTCGTACACCCCTAATCTTCGCATGATTCAAGCCACCGAATCCGCTGCAATAGTGTCACAAATCAACAAATAGTGCATCACAATCTCATCTTCAAGAATCGATAAACAAAGAACGCATAGGGAAGTGAATCGAAGAAGAAGAGGAATTCAAAATACAAGGCTAAAGAGGACGTACCTGAGTTATCAAAATCTCCCCGCTGGTTTTCAATTCACACTACTAGAAACAACTTTGCAAGTAAGTCATTAAAGATTCTATTGTGTCATCTTCTTGTCATATCATTAGGATATCGTTGCAAATCGAAGTTGACGGACGAAGCTTCGAGGTTGGAGATGACGATGAATTAGCAAAGTCTCACGGTGGCGCATTTGAATAGTTCATCGAGGAAGATGGAATTAAGGATGAAGATGATTTCGATCTCTCCACTTAGTGTTGAAGAAAGCTGAATCGCGATGGAATTTTGAGCCGCTTTGGAGATGATTAAAGTGGTGAACAACAGAGGATTCATCAGAAAGGAGAAGAGAAGGAGGAGCTATGGCGCGATCAAATTTCATCGATGAAGAACGTTGAATTAAATCCATGGAGCTTTGATCAGAATCAGAGTAGGATTGCAAAGTTGAATCGATTTGAAACGAATTTGAGATGATGAGAACACTGTCGTTCACCATGAGAGAAGTGTCTTTGCATAATTTCGATGGAGAAGAAAACCTTTGTACCTCTGTGTTCATGTGAAATTGTAAATCCTAACTCACATGCCAATCGAAACTGTCTCTTTCAATCTTCTTTCATTTACTTTAGTTTTTTTATTTTTATAATAAAACTAAATCTGATGGATCAGGTTGTGTTTAGACCGGACCATATGCACCTACCATGAGCCCATAGTCTGTGTTTTTTTGGAAGTTTGAGTTGCAATAGAACAAAAAAGGATCCTGGACTTTATTACACACGGGCGTAGCACAAGGCTTGTGATTTCTTATTGCACCTTGAATTTCTAAAAAATCCTTTTGCTTCTATTTGATATTCTTATTTTAATCTTGTTTCACTTGCTTTTAATCAATTTTCTTTCTTGATTTCTTGACATGATAAAAATGACAAAATCAATAAAAAATTGTTAGATTTTTTTATTTTTAGGAATTAATTAGTGATTATTCGATTATTTGAGATTTGTGATTCACCTTTTCTTGTCAAGATCTGAGTCTTATGTGGGTTTATCATGTGATATGTGGACGTGCTTGAGTTTTTGATTATGATTTATTTTCACATTGATGATGCTTCGATGCTTATTCTGAGTATTTAATTTCAGACTCTTCTCTGTTTCTTGGTGAAGCTCACTCGAAGTTTTCCGGGTTTCTCTGTTGTTTTTTCTTTTCTACGAACTCTTGTTTGTTTGTAAATTTCTCTTGTTTATCTCATTTCATCACTTTACTACTTTCTAGATATCATGAGAATTAGGAAATAAAGAGTGTGCGCCTAAAATCGATGTTTAATGACCTGTAGGAGGAACCAATTTTTATATGTTATATGTGTTTGTTTAAAATCCTACCTTTAAGTAGGTATTCCGCATGTGTGTTTGCATTTGTGCTCACATCTATTTCCCCGTCCCTTATTGAAGTCCTCAAAAGGAGGCGATCAAAAAGGTTAGAAATCAACCCCACACATTCTCGTCCGTGTCATCCTTAACTCGCGTTGTGCGTCGATGCTTTGGAGTGTGCCTACTCTTGTTATAGAGTCGTCAAGTGGAAAAGGGTTTCGCAATCAAACCCCCACATTTTGTCTTGAGCTCACGTTGGACGATGTTGACGCTCTGTGTTTTTTCTATCCCCTCCCCGCTTGTTTTCCTCGGTTGATATGACCCCTTGGCTAAAGCTTCCCGCTTCATCCCCTTTCCCGCTTGTTTGCCTCTGTTGATATGGCCCCTTGGCTAAAACATCCCTACTGTATGTTGTACCTAACTCGATCAGTTATATCTTGGTTAGGCCTTTACCAAAGTTAGTATGCACTACTCGTGGCATGTGTGTTCTCTCTTGAGCTTGTGGGTTACTCGCTTTCCATACTTGTGTACATGTTTTCTTAGGTTGTGAACCTTTGGCATGTTCCCTTAGGAGCTCTTGATTCACCCTTTGGTGGTGATTCGAGATAGACATAAGTTTAGGTTGTGAACCTTTTCTATGCTCCCTTAGGACTTCTTAATTCATCATTTGGTGGTGATTTAAGATAGACACTAGGATTGTGATCCATGCATGCTAACATATGTTAGAGATTTCCCTTTCAAAACTCAACCATAGGATGAATCATTGTATGATAACATTAGGGATTAGAACTATATAGTCTCCCTTAGATGTTTTCCTTTATTTTGCATCCTTTCATTAAGACTAAAACTCTTTTCTTAGAAAATGCATAAAACATCTAACAACTTTCAAATCCTTCTTTAAGGTAAAAAAAATATTAACTAATGCAAACATTTTCCGCTTTCGGGCCTTTCTTCGGAACCTTCAGTGTTAATTCTACTCTATACAACACGATGCATAAATCCCTAAAGGCCGGGTAGAACTACGTCTAAATTTCTAGAGCATGAATGTAGCATTATCCTCCTCTGAGCAGTTTACTTCGCAAATACCTTGTTAGGTATAACATGTTAATTCAATTATGTGCTGACGCGTGAGTCTCCAAAGGTCGAGTTGTGGTAGAAGGCAAAATTAATATTGTTCATTAAAAAACACAAAACAAATTAAAACATGTGAGCCGAACTACGGTAACTCTGATTCCTCAACAAGGATACGTAGGCATTAGGGTAGGGTCCAAGCGAGTACAACTTTATTTTCACTATATTATTTTCTCTTTTCTTTTGCATGCATTCCCTCTTTGCATTTTCTTTTAGCTCTTGAGCTTATATTTGGAACACACCATGTGATTAGAACAACCAGAGTGAATACCATAGAGTACTATGGGCGTGTGGGGTGTTAATACCTTCCTCTCGCGTAATAGACTCCCTTACCCGATCTCTCGATCGTTTGACCTTGATTTCACCTTTCTCAGGTTTATTCGATGTTTACCTTTCCCTTCCTTTGGGATAAAAAACATTTGATGGCGACTTCATTGATTTCATCTCGATGATTTGTTCAGCCGGTTGTTTCACTAAGCATAAACATTAAGTCACTATAAGTAATAAAACCTAAAAACATGAAATTCTAGAAATCCATTAAATCTTATGCAGGATTCAAATGAGGGATAAACAAAATTGTACACATAATTTATTATTTACTAGTTTACTGCATCGTCATTTCTTGTACCTAGTCCAATCTTCAATAGAGAATAACTGAAAATTTGATGGTCTTCTACTAATTCGAAAATATTACAAGTATCTTTGATACAATAGATAACTGGAGACAATATTGTAAACTTAAATCCAACTTCTAAGAAATACAAATCTCAATCTTAATTTTTCTTGAGTTGTATAAACCTCACTAAGGAGTTGTAGACTCCAAGGTTTCATCTGCAATGATCTTCACTCAATCCTACCAAAATTACCTTGAAGAAAATATCATCTCAGTGAAGGCGGTGTTGAAAGCTCCGAAAGATTCCGCTAAGACAAAGGCTCTTTTTAAGAAGACGTTGAAGAAAAACCTAGAGGATGCCCAAATTGATAGTGTCAATGCTGAAGAAAAATCCTTTGAAAAGGCGAAAGCCCAAGTGGTATATCTCTAGCTAGCTTCGAATCTTAGCAAGCTCGACCTGTTCAAGGTTGCTAAGAATGGCTAGGTGGTGGATGATCTCGATAAAGAAATAGGTTTCTCTACTGATAATACCCCCTTATTGGATGCTTCTTCTACCAACAAGGAGGGGAAAGTTTAGAAAGAGGGTGAACGCCATTTATCCCTGTGATACGGTGGCAGAACCGACTGTTTTTGTTACTACTGGTTTTGCGTTTTTCGTTTGCAAATGTACGGTAAGCAAGAGTCGCCACTGTGATACGGTGGCAGAACTGACTGTTAATACTGGTTTACTTTTTTGCGTTTTGTGTTTGCAAAATGTCGCGGTAAGCAAGAGTCGCCACCGACTTTTATTTCATCCAATCGGAAAGGAAAAAAGTACAGAAAAAATCCTTTTTCGAGATTTTGAGTACGGGGGTAGATTATAGAAAAGGAAGGTGTTAACACCCATTCTATCCATGGTTTTCCATGGGCTCTTAGGTACTTGCTCATTTTTTAAATTTCTTGTGTTTGTGCTTTGTTTTTGAAAAGTTTGACTTCGTGATAACCCTTGTATCAGTCCTCAAAGGTGTGACGAAGTTGTTTTGAAAGTTTGTTTTAAAAGTGTAAGTGTGAAAAGTTTTGATTTGAGCAAGTGCCTACTAGCATCTACCTACTCGAAAAAAGATTGTTTCTATTCTTATTTCCTTTAGACAACGCTATCCCACTATTGAGAAATAGGTAGCACCGTCGTTGGAGTTGTAAGGGTCAATTCGAAAGGGACATACGATCACTAAAGCAAAATTAGGACACCTTAGTAATAACCCTAGAGTCTTAAGATCATATTTGAGGCAACATTTTCGAGGCAACATTCGAATGGGACGTTTGATCTTTTTTAGACAGGAGGGCAACCACTAAGACACTCTATGCTTAATGATCGTTTATCGAAGGCAACCGAAGTGAGAGTATACCCTAGGAGTGATATGTGCGACCAATTTGTTTCAGTTATTTATCTTTGCACATTAGGGTTTTCTAACCGTATTAATTTGTCATGCATTCTTGTCATACAATCCTATTAGCATACATCTAAACAGTTAAATATTTGCAGGAATTAAAAATGCGAGAAAATAAACCTACGCTATTACAAGGCTCGGGGAGGGGGATTAATTACATAGCCAAAACCCGGAAATTTTAAACAGTAAATAAAACCCTAAATTAAACTATTACAAACCATGAACAATTACAAAATATTGGCAAAATAATTAACAAGCGCGCGGTGAATTAAATACGAAACGACTAGGGTTTTGACCCTTGACTAAACCTATTTGCGATTGATTAAAAAAAGATGTTTTTGTCATGTTTTGTTATTTAAGAAAATAATGAAATAATTAAATTAAAATGAAAATCCTAAGTTCTAATTAATTTTAAATTAAAAGGTAAATTAATCCACTCTAAAACCTATTTTTGTATTTTATTTATTTGAGAAAAAATAAAAGAATTAAATCAAGAATTTAACCTAATTTCTATTTGATTTTATTTGTGAAAATAAATTAAAATTTCCTTAAGTTAAACTAAATTAAATTAAATTTGATAATAAAAAAAACTAATTATAATTTTTTTGTGAATTCTTGATTTTATGATTTTATAAAAAATAGTGATTAGTTTTTGTGAATTAAAATAATTAAAGAAAAATATTAAAAGAAATAAAAATAAGAAAGAAAGAAAAGAAGTGGGCCTGATAGCATTAGCAATCCTGGGGGGTGCCAATATGATTTTTGGGCCCAAATAATCCAAGCTTGTATTGACCACGCTTGGTTTGGTGAGGTGTTAACTTGAGTGCATATCATGGTCCTTCAATGCTGGCACGTTAGATCTAGCTTGCTGATGAATCTGATGGTTGGATATTGATGGCATATGGTGGGCGCTTGAGATTGTAGTGTACCTGATCACATGAAGCAAAATAATACAAACAAAGGTTGGGACCTGGGGATCGAACCCAGGTCCTCATGCTCGCCCCCAGTGCCTTCTTGACATCTGTG